TTCTAAACTCATCCTTTTCGGTTAAAAAATTAATGATCGTCTGAGTTGGACATTAACGTGTTGACTGAGATATGATAGTAGTTTGAGATTATGATATTAGATTTTATCATATCTTAATCAACATGTTAATATCCAACTCAGACGATTATTAATTTTTTAACGAAAAATGATGACTTTGAAAAATAATGAATAGTTGAGTGACTATTTTGTAACTTTTAATAGTCGATAGACTCAACAAAATAACTTTTTAGAGTTGATGAATTATTTTGTAACTTTTAATAATTTGATTACTCAACAAAATAATATCTTATAATCGGAATCATTTGTGTACTTTTGAAAATGTAAACATAAAATATATTTTTTTGATAAATTAAACATAAAATATTGCTAAAAGAAATTAGGTGGGTATTTCTTTATTTATGTAGAAAAGGTTGAAAGTTGTATCATGGAAAACAAAAGGCAGAGATATAGATTCAACGTTTGACTTGGTTCTTCAACAATTTCAGAAGTAGGAAAAATGGAGAGGGAAAGCATGGAAGAAGGGCTGTTAACAGGCAGATATGGACCGCCAAATGAAACAAAACCAAGCATCAATGGTGGCGCCGGTGGTGACAGTATTACCGGCGACCTTAACATACCATCCTCGCCGGCAGCTTCCTCATTGACATCTGTTCTCGTCTTCAGTACGTTTATTGCCGTTTGTGGCTCTTTCTGCTATGGCTGTTCTGTAAGCTCTTCCCTTTCTTCTTCTTCATATCCTCAACGTGAAGATCTTCAACATTTTTTTAACAAAAAGAACCTTAAATTTATATTAATATGTAAGTATATGATATAATGAACTAACTTTGAAAATGAACCCAGATTGGTTATTCATCACCTGTTCAGAATGGGATCATGGAAGACTTGAGCCTCTCTGTGTCAGCAGTTAGTACATGCCAATCTTTTCTACTTTTTTTTCCTATTCAATTTACTTTCTTAAAGCTTAAGAAAGCTGTAGGTGAGTTTATATAACTATCTTACTCGGATTATTGTGAGTGATAAATACAGCTATAGTTAATTTTTTCGAAGTTTATCTCGTATTTATATTCGAATATGTATTGGAAATAGATATAGATATAGTGCGGAAACGAAGAATCCTAGTAATATAGATGTGTAATCTTTGACACCAATTTGCAGTACTCTGTTTTCGGTTCAATAATGACAATTGGGGGAATGGTAGGAGCAATTTTAAGTGGGAAGATAGCAGATCTTATCGGTCGAAAACGGGTAAGTTATATTTGTTTGGTTAAGCCTTTACATATTCTTCTAAGTTAATGTGTTCATATATACTCTTGAGAAACAGACAATGTGGTTCTCTGATGTCTTCTGCACTGCTGGGTGGCTATCAATAGCATTCGCAAAGGTTAACTTCCACTTTAAATTATTTCCTTTCCGGTAATTCGATAATGGAACAATTCGTAAGAAAGATCGTAAGAAGTGTATGTTTACTTTCTGTTGGAAGAATGCCTTGTGGCTGGACATCGGAAGGCTGTTGATTGGAATCGGGGGTTGGTGTGATTTGTTATGTGGTAATGTACTAAAGTTTGTAGTTCATACATATTTCATCAGCTTGAAACAGTTTTGAAGTAACTTAACAATGATATATAGCTGAACTTTCTATATGAAAACAGGTACCTGTTTACATAGCTGAAATAACACCTAAGAGTCACCGTGGATCATTTGCATCGGCAAATCAGGTAAACTATACTAAACCCATAATTGAAAATGTGATTTTTCAGCTTATCGTTAATTCGATTTAAGCTTCTTAATGGTGCAGTTGATGACTACTTGTGGGTTTGTACTTATATTTTTCACTGGAACAATCATTTCGTGGCGCACACTGGCTATGATCGGTATATACAATTTTCTTATTAACTTTAGCTAAAGGTAGTGTTAGTTTGCTTAAGTTTTTTATCCATTCCGTTTCCTTCAGGTGCAATCCCCTGTGTAGTACAGATTATAGGCTTGTTTTTTATTCCGGAGTCCCCTAGATGGCTGGTAAGCCTAACATAGTAGTCTCCCAATCTTTGGATGCTTTTCAAGTACACATGTTAAAATGAACACGTGAATGCAAAACATGACCGACTTCTGCAGGAAAAATCCGGTCGAGAGAAAGAGTTTGAGGCTTCTTTGAAGTGTCTAAGGGGAAAGGACTCAGACATTTCCGAAGAAGCTTCTGATATCAGAGTAGCGTATTGGCTTGATATCTTGTTACTTCTGTGAACACATAGTTTTCCTCATGATAACAAGAAATGTTATGTGCTTACAATATCTTGTAGGTTTATATGGAAACTCTTGAGCAACAGACAGAAGAAAGTTTCCTCGAATTGTTCCAAAGGAGATATGCTAATGCACTCATTGTGAGCTTCGAGTAACATTCGATTAGTATGCTAATTTCTTTTAAAGACTTTCCTGATGATTTCATCATATGGCTTCTTGAACTCTGCAGATTGGAGTTGGCCTAATGTTATTGCAACAACTAGGAGGAAATAGTGCTATGGCATATTATACCAGTAGCATATTCAACGAAGCCGGTAAATTTACATCTTCCATGTTGTTTCCTATATAATTATTGATGCAGAAATTATTCAAAGAAGACACAAAGTTTTGTTTGCAACAGGCATATCAGGTAACCTTGGCCTTCAAGTTTTAGCTATTGTACAGGTACCTTCATGGCTTCTTTCCCAACTTGGAGTTAACGTAAAATTATGTTCCAAGCATTTCCGAGACATCTCAATTACATTGTTTTTTTTTGCAGATTCCGGCATCTATTTTAGGTTTATTTTTAATGGATAGATCCGGTAGACGACCACTCCTATTGGTTAGTTTCGTAAAAAAATTCATTTCAAGGTGGTAAAATTGTTGAACAAACAAGTAAATGTGTAATCAATCCAATTTTATGCAGGTTTCTGCAAGTGGACTGTGTTTTGCTTGTTTTCTTCAGGGACTGTCATTCTGCTTTAAGGTATTGCAAAATTTAGTTAATTTTTTTCAAGAGATTGTCCTTTCCTGTTTAAAGCTTTCCAATTCTTTCTTTTTTTTTCCTGAAAACTTTGATGCTATTTTACAATCAGGAATTCCCCGATCTGAAGGCACTTACTCCGTCTGTGGCATTTACCGGCACATTGGTACTTCAGTCTGTCTTACATATTTTACCTATTTAATGCAGTAATCATGAACACAATACATGATTCTTTGTAGAGCCTGCATGGATCTAAACAACTATAAGTACATATTAAGCCAAACTACATGTGTAAACTGATCAACACTGCAAACACAGATCGGTGCTACATTCTACTCGATAGGCTTGGGAGGAATACCGTGGATTATAATGTCAGAGGTATGTGTCAATTCCGAGATCGAAATCTTCGCCGTTGCTTGCATATCAAGCTTTCCCCATTAGCTGTAGGCAAGAGATTCATTTGACTAAAACATGGTCCATACTATTTGTCAGATATTTCCTATCAATGTTAAAGCTCAAGCTGGAAGCCTGGTGACCCTAGTCAATTGGTCCACTGCTTGGGTCATTACTTACAGTTTCAATTTTATGATGGAATGGAGCGCAGCAGGTCATTCTCCGTTTCTTCTCTAACAGAGTAAATTAAGATTACATTTCTGAACTAAAATGTATCAGCAAATATGATTGCAGGAACATTTTTCTTTTTCTTGGGAATCTCAGGGTTAACTGTTGTATTCGCGGCCGTGTTGGTCCCGGAGACAAAGGGGAGAACACTGGAGGAAATACAAGCATCTATCGCTCATTTTCTGTACATTTAAGATATAAGGAATGGACATGAATGCATCAATATGTATAAGCAATACGCATATGGCTTACTTTCTTTCGTATATTTACAAGTGATCATTCCCAAGGATGAACAATGCTGGTGAACATAATGTATACATGCAATGTACTTATACATTAATACGTTTTAGTAGGATGTAACAACCCAAAAACCTTGTATTATCAAAATAGGGAAACAAATAAGTCCCTGTACTGATCAGTACTGCAAACTCAGGTCTGTGCTAAAACTTTCACAATAGGATTGGGAGGAATACCATGGATCATAATGTCAGAGGTATGTGGCAATTCCGAGATCAATGCTCGCCCTAAAATCTGGAAACAGAAGATTCGTTTAACTAAAACATGGTCCATTTCCCGCCCTCCCTGTCAGAGTAAATTAACATTACATTTCTAAACTAAAATGTATCAGAAAACTTCATTGCAGGACCATTTTTCTTTTTCTCAGTAACCACAGCCTTAACTGTTCTATTCGGGGCCAAGTTGGTACCGGAGACAAAGGGGAGAACAATGGAGGAAATACAAGCATCGACCACTCACCTGTTTTCCGTAACATATAAGATTTAATCTTGCATGGCTTTGAATGCACCATGTTTACAAACAACACAAATATGGCTTACTTTCATTTTTGTTTCACAAGTGACCATTTCCAGGGAGGAACAATTGTGGTGAACCGTTTCCATTTCCTCATATTGGTCTTAAAAGACCCTGTATACATTTGTATACTGTAAACCGTACACTTTTATGATATTGAGACATTCAAATTTTTTTAAATATCTAAACTTGGAATTTGAGTTCACTTTGGCAAATGGCAGCTAAATTTGGAATTTTCTTTTGCAGGCAGCTCAGCCATTCAAGTAATTGTACTTCATTTGGAGAGACTCTTATGAATATCAAAATATTATAGGTTTTGGCTTTTTGAACATTTAATTCATATGAACAAATGAAAACCATTTACTCAATATGCATGAAATATTCAAACAATCCAACAAATATCACATTTCATGTGTGGGCCTCTCAGGCCCAATGGATAACTCTTATCATTTCTTCAAACTGAAAAATTAAGTTCTTGTCCTTTTGTTCTTTACACCACTTCCAATCAAACTCCTTTACTCTGTTGCTTAATTATTGGCTACAGTTCTCTTGCTTGAATTTTTGAGAGATGAGTAGACAGAAAATAGAAGATGGTGAACTTTCAAGTTCTTTGATAGTTAAAGAGAAGCCTCCGGATGGAGCTGGACATGGTAGTTCTGGTGAAGAACAAGGTGGAATTGGAACTACTTCTTCTGCAACAACTATGGTTGTTCTTAGCACCTTTGTTGCTGTTTGTGGATCTTATGTTTTTGGAAATGCTGTAAGTATCTGTTTTCGTTATTGAAATGATTAGTTTTACTTATAATCTTAATCTGCAAAGTAAAGGGGTTTCCCTTCTCCTGCTTGACCATGAATTTTGATTACAATGAATGGCTAAGTTTGACCTTAATTCTACACAGTACCTGGACTGTTCTTGTTCACCTGTTGAAAAGCAATAAGACTTAAGAAACTTGGGTTTTATTCAGTTCGCCGATGGTAATCATACTGTTGCATTCGTCTTACAAAAGTTGAACTAATATGATTAATTTACCAGATTGGATATTCATCACCTGCTCAGACTGGAATCATAGCTGATCTGGGTCTCTCTGTGGCTGAGGTAAAGTATAAATAGATCTGTTTCCTTTATACAATATTTTTTACCTTAGAATTTTATTTCAAATGCCTTTATGCAACCTTTGTTACCGAGCTGCATGATCATGTTAGGTAAAATTGTACCCATTACATGAAAAGCTCAAAAGCTGGCATATTTGTTATGTAACCTAACATGGTATTCATATCCTTTAGAAGGGAACTGGATAACATATATAAGTTTCAACAATTTTCCTAGTTTGACCATTGCAGTATTCTCTTTTCGGTTCAATATTGACTATTGGAGCAATGATAGGTGCAGTAATGAGTGGGAGAATAGCAGATTACATTGGTCGAAAATGCGTAAGATTTTCAAGGACATATTTTGCCATATGTATAATTCTAACTCGAAACAGCTTTACTTGTCTTGGACTTTCTTCGATGTTGGTTGATGTTTGATGCAGACGATGGGTTTCGCAGAGATATTCTGCATTGTAGGATGGCTTGCTATAATATTCTCCAAGGTGCTTTCCTGCTTAACTTGATTACAGTCTTGCTTCCATTCTTCTAAGAAAAAACAACATTCTAGTACCTTATATGGCTTCAATTCATATTAACTGCATGTGAAAAGGCTGCCTTTTGGCTTGACTTTGGACGGCTTCTGGTGGGATATGGGATGGGACTCCTTTCCTATGTGGTAAGCTATGAACATATCGCGGTCGTACTTGAATAACAATTCATATGTTTGAAGAAAATAATCTAATCTTATCCACTATAGGTTCCTGTATATATTGCTGAAGTTACACCAAAGGATATTCGAGGGGGATTTACATCAGTCCATCAGGTAAATACTAAGCACCATTGATGAATTTCAATATGTTCTTTTGCTTATGTACCTAGTGACCATCAATTCTGCAGCTGTTGATCTGTTGTGGTGTGTCGTTAACTTACCTCGTAGGCGCTTTTGCCACCTGGCAGACTTTGGCTCTAATCGGTAAGTGTCAGATTTTATGGTGCTACTTTGAACTTCAAAGGATTCTCTAACAGTTACTCCCCTGTATGATATGATTTCAGGAACTATACCATGTCTTATGCAGCTTTTGGGTCTATTCTTCATCCCTGAGTCGCCTAGATGGCAGGTAACTTCAAGGCAGTAGTTTATACAAAAGTTCATAAATATGTGGCTCATGCTATTAAATAATTAGATTTCTTCTGAAATTATGACTCGAAGTAAATCCAAGCATCTATAAATGCATTGAATTAGTGAACATAAATCTTTGCAGGCAAAGATAGGTAACTGGAAAGAGTGTGAAGCTTCCCTGCAGCGCCTTAGGGGAAACAATGCTGATATTTCTGATGAAGCAAATGAGATTAAAGTAGGTTATTAGCTCGGAGTGCATGCAAGTTTTGGTTTCTGTTCCTTGGATTAGTACAGCATGTGCCGGAATAACAAAAGGTTTATACTTTTTATTGTATTTTCTTTTGCAGGATTATACAGAACAACTTCAACGGCATTCAGAATCTAGCGTGTTTGATTTGTTCCAAAAGGAATACGCATGGTCCCTCACCGTACGAATTCGTCAATCCTATGCTCATAATTGATCTTTGCTATGAGTTGTTCTATTAATGTATAACTAAACTGGTTAAGGTTGGAGTTGGCCTAATGGTTCTGCAACAATTCGGGGGAGTCAATGGCATTGCATTTTATGCTAGTTCAATTTTTATATCAGCTGGTATGTTAAGAACATTTTCATGTTTATGAAACAATAGAAGAACTATAGGAAGTTCAAACTGGAAAATCTTTTTATTTCAAGTTCTTTGTGACAGGGATTTCCAGTAGCGTTGGAATGATAGCAATGGTTGTCGTTCAGGTCGGTTCATCATGACCTGCACTATCATCAGAGTTCATATCATTTTGATTAATATGCTTTTCTTAAAGACTGGAATAATCTTCTGCAGGTTCCTATGACAGCTTTGGGAGTAGTCTTGCTCGATAAATCCGGACGAAGACCGCTTTTATTGGTACAAAAGCCTAGAAATTTATCTTCTATATGTATTACATTGTGGAAATGTCCCTGCTGAAATCTACTTATATCTACAGGTATCAGCAGCTGGAACATGCTTGGGTTGCTTCCTAGTTGGATTGTCATTTTTCTTGCAGGTTCGACGAGATTTATCGATCTCGAATTTCCAAATCCTTTTCATGTTCTATATTCTTTTCTCAAAAACATTAAACTCGACCGCATACAGGACCTTCAACAATGGAAGGAAGCCACTCCTATCTTATCACTTGTTGGTGTACTGGTAAATCCAATGAATCAGTGTTTTAGGCAGTAGCTTCCATGAACAGAATCATCTTCGTGCTGATTCGTTCGACTCGATGTAGGTGTACACGGGATCGTTTTCGTTAGGCATGGGAGGAATACCTTGGGTTATAATGTCCGAGGTAAGTTTGCCATGATCTAGATTAATTTGCAGCCTTCAATATTATATGAACTGAAAAAAAGGGTTAGTATTTCAGATATTTCCCATAAACATGAAAGGTTCAGCTGGAAGCCTTGTGACATTGGTTAGCTGGTTAGGCTCTTGGATTATTTCCTTCGCATTTAACTTCCTCATGAAATGGAGCTCAACAGGTAAAAATCATTGCATCTGATATTGTCAACATTATCATTTTAGCCACAGAATTTGACCTTTCTTTCCCATGTTACATTTTCTTCCAGGAACATTCTTCATTTTCGCCACCGTATGTGGCTCGACTGTTCTGTTCGTGGCGAAGCTGGTGCCGGAGACCAGGGGACGGACACTCGAAGAAATACAAGCGTCGATGAATCCGTTTTCGTAGGATAAGTGGATGGTGCATGAACAATCAATAAACTGATACTAAGAAATTCAAAGTCCTAACTTAAATGTCATATTTACATAATGTAAAAACTTTTAGTTTTATACTAATTTAGAAGCATCAGATTAGTGGAAATAAATGAATTGGATTATTTCTTTGTTATATATTTATATATATATGAAAAAAAAACCTACTTAAACATCTTTTTAAGTATGTTTACTATTAATATTTTAATAATTTATATATTAATATAATTATACTTATTATGCGTGTAAATGTTTTAATCAATCTATATTATTTATCATATTCAATTAAATTAATATTTTTAGTAATATATATTTAATGATTGATTTTTTATATAAATTAAATAGTTTAATATTTTTAATTTACTTAAAACTTGATGTGCATGATCTATGTGAATAAAACATGAAATTCAATGATTAAACTATTAAAATATTTATCATAAAATTTGTATATAATGAATAAGGCAAGAAAATTTCAAGTAGCTATGGAAAAAGTGTTTTGTCAAAATGGGCATTCAAGGGCTTTTTATTCATCCATTATGCCATTAAATTAGAATAAAAGAGAACAATCAAAGCTTTGGGAGTCCCAAAAGTTTCTCCAATGAGGACGGAAGGATGTCCACATTCATTCTAAATATGTCCACATTCATCCTAGATAATTAAGCTTTGGAATTTCAAAGGTTTCTTCTTTTTGGACAAATGGATGTCTAGATTCATCCTAGAGATGTCTACATTAATCCTAAAGCTCCAACATGACTATTCGACTACCAAGGGAGAAGGAAGGTCACAAGCTATTATATGTGTCTTCATTACCATTAAGATGAAGGCTCTACTCTATTGTTTGTCTTTCAATTTATAGCCTTGAAACCTTATAAATAAGTGTCCATTTCTCCATTGTAAACTAACACCTTTGATTTTATAAACATATTTGAGAGTGTTCTCTTTTTAGTTCTTTAAGAATTTTATCGGCTCACCAAGCTTAGTCTTGTAGCATCTTTTCATTCATTTTATTATATCGTTGGTTCCTAGTTCTCTATAAATTGTGTGTCAAGATCCAACCTCTTCCATATTAGGTTCAAAAACTTATATGGTTTGAGTCAACATTCAAGATAGTGTTGGTTCTTCCTTGTTCCCACGTCATCATTAAACAAATCCATCGCCTTCCATACACTTTCTATTCACAATCAACTTATCATAATCACAATCACATATTACCAAACCTTCTCATACCATTCGTCATTCCAGCTTCACAAAGTTCATCTTTTTGAATTTAAAGTTAATTTCAAGTTCTTACTAGAATCATGGTCGCGTAAATTCATATATAATTATATAAACATTTGTCACCGCAATAGTGCTAGCACACTTGTCACCGCAAGTATAGTGGATAGCTTTAAGCTATCAGGTTATCGATCTTACGAAGAACGATAGTTAGATATTTAAGATTGTCGGTGTAATGAACTGTAGAAAGAAGAAAATTTAATGAGTCGTCGATGTAAAATAAGAGAAATATAGAGTAAATAAACTAATGATTAAAAATAAGGTATTTGTCAGCGCACTTTCAGCCCAAGTAAGCATGATAGCATATGTAGATATGTTGATTGTTAATGCAATGAAGAGTATGTTTATCTTAATAAATTAACTTCCCTTAGTTAATCAATGACTCACACTTAACCTAAACACGTACACCTTCCAGTGAATGCATTCAAAGTATAGTGAGGACACCGATTCCAGCTTCAGTTGAAACCATTGCGACTTCCGCCAACAATAATCAAATTTATTTGTAAATCCATTTATAGTGAAACATATCCATTGAGTTGATTTAATTATGCAAAATGATGTTATGCAGTGACAATAAAACTAAAATGTAATGCAGCTACATACAATGCAATGACAGTAATACTGTAACGTACATAAAATAGGACAACATACTCTTTAAGACGGGGTAAAACACGTCTTTCTGAATACTATCAACACTACAACTGAATTCATGTCAACTCATGATAGAAATCTAAATTTTATACCATCCATATATTAAATAATTTCCAATGATATTATTTGTTAATATGATAGAATCTTTCAATTCTTTCGGGGATAAGAATGCACAAGATATAGCTTGTTCACGTTAATAGCAATATTACACAACAAATATTTTTTTTTTTTGCTTAAGCTTTTGGATTAAAGTGATATGGCAAAACTAGAGACACATATATAACTTAACTACTACACCACATAATTATGTAATCATTTTCTTTCATATTCTTGCATAAAATCCAAAAGAAAAAGAACTCAAGCAAAGATCCACTTAGCCTGACCCTACTTCCATGACTTTAGCCTACAAAAATTCACATTTTTTTAATTGGGTCAATTCCCTTGTAGATATACCATTCTTTTCAATAGTTTGAGTTGATTAAAGATAGTATTTGTTTATAGTATCTCTTAAGCATTGATAACACGCATACACTCTACACACGTAGTTGCTCGAACCAAAAATCTCTAGAGAAAACAACGCTCCTTTAAGTTTAAAAAATCACATTTTCCAACTGGTTTAATTTCTCCTGTATATACACTTGAAGATGTCATTATCAATTGAAAGATTTTTTCCTTGCTTTTTGGATACCAACCACATATAATATGAAAAGGGCGGTCCACATAGCTTGGTTTAAACCTAAAATTATATAAACATGAAAATTACTATTTTTGGTGGCACATAGAGAACATACAATATATCAGAAGATCTTTTTATGTGTCCAAAGATGAGCACAAACATTCTAGGACAAGAATCTTGCATACACATGTGGTTCGTTTTAGATGAAAGCATTGTCGTCATCTTCAATTTCCTCAACCTACGCCCATTTGTTGCTTCTGCTTACTAAATTCAATAACCTCATTTTTGTTTTCATATAAATAATCTTGCAAAATGGTCTTTATAAATTAAGGATAGTAAATAAAAAACACGTCCATCAAAATCTCTTGGAATATTGCAGTATATCCCTTGAAATTTAAATAATTTATTAAATATCTAAAAAATAATAATTTTTGGAAACTGACATCTATTTTCTAATAAAGATCTTTAGATTATTTGTTTTATCTTTAGATTATTTGATATATCTAAATCTTTGAGGAGTTTATATCTTTCAAACACAACTCTTCGAGTCAATTATAGTGCATAGACAAGACCTATGGAAGATCTATGTGACCTATCAATATAAAATCTAAGTTCTAATTGTTAGATCTATCTAATTCATTAACCTATGAATAACCATAATTATCTAATGTCTCATACTTGTAACTATTGACCGCTATAATTATATGAATATCTCACAGACAAGATTGAGGAAGAATCAAACCTTCAACAATCTAGACACAATCTTCCTTTTTTTTTCTTCTTATGATCAATTCTCTCACATAAAGAAATATCTATCAACGGTTATCCTCATACCGGTCACAATGTTTCACCCAATTCAAAAGAAATGAACTACCAACAACGAACAAAACCGATTAATCCCATCAATATATTATTACAAAATCATATATTTAATTACTATTTAAAGACCAAATACATATCTAATAAATTTATATATAAATTATTTTTCTTAATTCACTTATAATTATTTACTAAATAAACTTTTATAATAAATAAATTGTGAGACCCGGTACCGTTTGCTCTCACACTCTTCACCATGCCCCCACGCCTCCTTTCCTTTTCATTTGTTTATTCTCTTTCCCCTATCTTTGTCTTGAGCATGTTATTCTTTTATTAATACCCTCATCTCCCTTATCTCTCTTCTTCTTTAGTAAACCATATCATATCAATCATATCATCAACAACAATCAAGTCCCAACTTTTCCTTAAACTTTTCAAATTTGTTTCTCTCACTTTTATCTCTTGTCTATGTAGCCATCTTCCTCTTGGCATTGAGATTCGTCATGCCTTATTGTTATCTCTATTACTACGCACAATTCATGTTGAACAAGTACTACTTTGGTAAGAAAAGTGTTCACTCTTTTTTGGGGTTATCAAACAAGGCTTCTCCTCATTCCAAATGTGGGTTAGGGTTGGTTTTTAGCAATGAATACAATCCCAATGTTGTTGAGTCCTCCTCATTACCATTGCTCAATACTAAACCTATGTCTTCGTTGTCAAAGAAAGACCCTGGTGTGATAAGATTTATGGATGATATGGGTGGTGAGGTTGATGGACTTACGTCGTGTACTGAGAGTTTAGGGTTTGAGAGTTGTAGCGAAAAACGAGTCAACGATGAGGATGAATATGAGTTTTGTAAAGAGGAGATTAGGGGTAGATGGAGAAATAAGAAGAGGGTTGAAGAGAAGAGATCAGACGATAAAAGGGATAAGAAGTTTCCACCACCACTTTCTTCATTGAACCAAAACGGTCGGCCTTGTTTTTACCTAAAGCCTGTAAGGGCAAATGGGAGGTTGGAGTTAACCGAGGTTAAGATACATAGACCGGAGATTTTACTTGCTGTTAGGGAAAATGGACGGTTGAGATTGCATCTTGTTAGAAGTGATATTTGCTGTAAATTCAATGAAGATGAAGAGAGAGAACATGAAGAAGTGCATGATTTGCATGAAGAAGAAGAAAAAGGTGATGTTTGCATTAAATTCAATGAAGATGAAGAGATAGAACAAGAAGTGCATGATTTGCATGAAGAAGAAGAAGAAGAAGGGATGAAACTTCAAGAATTGTGGAATTATAGAGTGAATGGTGAAGGTTCCAGTAGATGTCATGAGATGGTTCATTATCATCGACATCATGGTATCAATGGACATCATAGCATGCATGTATGGAGGCAGCCATGTGTGTCAATAAGGTGAATAATTATTAGCAAATGCTGCACAAAAGACAAGAGGTCGATGAATGGTCTGCGTTTTGTTTTGGGGAAGATCGATGTTTCATTGTATGTTGGATTAGCTACTTTGTTTTCGGCAGACAGAAGATAAGGATGATGTGTCTCCGCCAAATTTGGAGGTGAAAGACGGTAATCTCCAAACGTCAGCACTGAAAAATAAAAATAAAAAAGAAGATTCTTAAAAAACTTCTGAAACTTTATCTTCGATTTTTCCAATAAAAATGTTGAATGCCGAAAATACCCAACTATTTGCCTAAATTAGTGGAGCATAAGTTGTGAAAGTGCACTCATGTGTCGTCTTTGACTACAATTTTATGTATACATATATAGTAAAATAAGGCTTTTGGTCTTGTCTAACATAAAAGCTTCGGAATAAAAGTTACCATAATTTCCTCTTTTTGGGAGACATTAGCTGAATGGAATTGGGCACAACTAGAGATTGCAATGGGTGGAGTTAGATTTTTGACTCACCTAAAGCTCGACTTCAAATTCGAAGCCCTCTACTCACATCTAACCCAACTCGGATTTAAGAAAACCTCACCTGACCCAATTTTTTAAAGCTAAAATTCACACTAGTCCCAACCCGACCACATCCTAAAAAATCGTTTTAACCTGACCCAAACTCGAATTTTCAAAATAAAAAACCGATCCAGCCGGATTGAGTCGAACCCTCAGATTCGAAGTTTCAGGAAACGTTAGAAAGAACTTTTATAAATTGATCGAATTAATCATTCAGTCGATTTAGGTGGGAGAAATGGATAGCGACTCTTCGCGGATAGACATTCAAACAGAAGCAAAGAAAATAGATGCCAAAATCATAGCTCAAGGAAGCACGAAACCTATAAAATTGACATTCAAAAGTATATGAAAATTGATTAGAGATGATGATACACCATGTCAAGATCTAACAGTCAATAATCATAATCGAAAGAAATGAGGCAAATTATGAATCTGTCACCAACCAGAGAGCTAATATGGATGCCCCTGATTACATGTCCGACACGGACCAGAGGTATGCTTCCCTTTCCGTTGCCTGTTTCTCGTTCAATTTGGTGAACATTTTCTTCTCAAAACCTACACAGATGCCGAGCAGCAGCCAATTAGCATTTGTCAAACTAAGACTTAAATAATGATGAAACATTTTGTGAACCAATAACAAAAATGACTTTACCATTGCTGCGATCAACTCCGTCCCAATGCCTTCCTGGTCTTATACCATATCGATTGGGCGCGGCATCTAATTTTCTTACAATCCAACTATGTGGAGGGATATCTTGAGGAACTATAAACCCTGATTCCTTCATCTTCTCAGCATCCCCTAGGTCTTTAAGAACTGGCTCAGGTTGCTTTTTCTACAATATTTCATAAACATATGTCAACTTAGTACTAAACTACCTGAATTCTCATTAGCATCAATCAAACAAGTGGTTAATTACCTTGACCAGCTGTGCCATAGGATCACCCCATCTTAGTCTATCCTTCAACATATTGTCGAGCTCTGGGTCATCCCTGCAAGTTGAAGCAGTAAAATATGAAAAATGCAACATGCAACAATACAGGAGAGGAACAATAATCTGAATCAACTAGATGATATGATGAAGTAACAAGTACAAGAATTACAACTCAACATTGTTTATGTTCTGTTATTTTACCTGGTTCGAGCAAATGGTTTATTCTTCTCGAGTTCTAATTCTTGCAACCTTGCCTCGGCTTCCCGTTTCTGGGCTAAGCCTTTGCCCCATTCCAACTCTTTCTCCTGATAAATAACATTAAAGCAGACCATTAATTCTTGCTCACTAAGAACAAAGTACACAATAAAGTTAATATTGACCAGGAAAACCACACTAGAATTGGCTACAATGATCATAACTGAGAAGAAAGAAATGAGGTAATTATGAACTCTGCAGCTAACTCTTCCATGTACCTTAGGCTTATCTTCTCCTCCTTTCCGTTTTGACTTAAGGTACTCTTCTTTTGATACGCGTTCCCCTGCAGGGATTCATAAGGTATGTGTGAGCCGGATGCAAATTTACATAAGTTTTTGACTAGATATTACATAATAATGACTAGTCGTTCACCTTTTATCTTATCACGAAATACAGGTTCAGCACCTCGTCCGCTTACAGATGGATCCATCTCCTTAAACCTAACACACAATAGACCAAAGAAATTAAATGAAGTGCATAAACTAAACCAACTAAAACGAAAAAAATAAATATAACCCAAGGACATCCCTCAACTAGAAAACATCAGCTCTAACTATGCAAGCACACAGGATAGAATCAAATTGGAAGTTACATAAAGGTGATTTTAAATGCTTTGGAATCTGTAATCAGATATATGAAAGCAAACTCAAAAAACTGCTTATATCATGTTATCATCCAAAGTAAAAGAAAAAAACAGGAGACTACTTTAATTCTCTCATTTCATCAACAGAGGTATTTTACCAATGTCTTCATGGAAAAAGCCACAAGACCCTACAGCAGATCACCCCATAACGGCGGCCACATGTAATAATTACTTCAACCAAAGAAAAAGCATCTTCTGCAATTTGTCCAAAAACAAAATTGACTGAAGCCTACATTGAACTCAAGACTAGTCATCTATTGGTGAGTATCTATTTTATCCTATTTATATAACATTTCAAGGATGAAAATTGTAAAACGCTAACAGAGCTATTTTCTGAAAACTGAATAATATCTAGACGGCTAAACAGAATAGGTACCTTAACCAATTATCCTTCTTTGTTTTGGAAATTTCTTCTCGGATCTCACTGCCAGAAATTAAACCAGTTTTTGATTTCTCTTTCAAAGAAGCAGGACCAGTTGATTCCCTCTTACTTTTCCTTGGAGGGGGAAAGATCTGAATCATGAACTAACTCGGATGTTTGACCACGAGATTGTCTAGGTGGGAGCATATCAGGCTCGGGTGATTGTGTATGTTGATATCTTGACCTTTGCCGTGGAGGTGACATATCATTATCAGTACCTTCTCTCAAAAGCTTCACCCTCCGTTTCGGTGAAGGTGTATCATTTCTCACCCTCCGTTTCCGAGGTGGTGATAAATCAGCATCTGCTCTGTTTACTAAAGGTTCTGGTGAAGGTGTATCATTCCGAGCTCTCCGTTTCCTAGGAGGAGATAAATCAGTACCATCGGCTCTGTTTACTAAAGGTTTTGGTGATTGTATATCATTCCGAACCCTCCGTCTCCGTGGAGGTGATAAATCAGTACCATCTGCTCTGTTTACTAAAGGTTCAGGTGATGGTGTGTCATTCCGAACCATCCGTTTTCGTGGAGGAGATAAATCAGTATCATCTCTAGATGCCTTGACTTGAGGTTCTGGTAAATCAGTCCTAGATGCCCTCCTACAAGAAGGTGATAAATCATCCCTACTTCTCCTTGGTGCTGACAAATCCTTAACTTCTATTTCAGATTTTGAATGCCTCAACTCATGTTCTGGAGAAGGTGTGTCATTTTGTGTCCGCTGCCTACGAGAAGGGGAAATATCAGAAATAGGATCCACTGTGTTAGCGCGTTTAGGAGAAAGCGAGACCCATCCACTACCGTCTTCAGCAATAGTATTGTATCCCCTCCTCAACCTAATCTGCTCTAGCTTTTTCATTCTTTTCACTTCGATATCTTCATCTACTACGGGCATCTCATCTAGGAAAATAACAAAGTTCATAATCAACAACTGTCAACTATAAAATTATTAAACTGAAAATAAATAATAATTACAATATAAAAAAGATGAAAAAAAACCTTTGAACTAACCAGGTGAATCATTGCCATCATCGTCTTCAACCTGAACAGGTTTTTGCCAGACCGGGTCTTCATCAACAACCAACACGCCTGAGGATTCGGGTTTGGTTTTCTTCTTTTTCTTCCTTTTCTTCTTCTGTTCCTCTTCTTCATTTTTGGTCTCGTATCGTTTTAGATATTCCTTCAAGCTTGAAGTTGCCATCACTACACAAATTCAATAAGATTATTAGGGTTTCAAATATTGCAAGAAAAAGGCAAATTCTGTAATCTTTCACTATTTTAAGCCCTTGGATTCCTGCCATGTGCACCTCAACAATTGAAGAATTTTACGTGAAGAAAAAGACTTGGAGGGCTAAGAACATTTTGTTACAAAACTATGAATAAGAAACACAATGTCAAACAGTAACTGGCCCCATAATTCTATAACTATCACCTTGTTGCCATCAATCTTCTAAATGATCTAACAAATTAATCATGCCGATGCCTAGAGTTGAAATAATAGAAGGAAGAGAAAATTACTGACATGATAACTAAACTTTGAAATCTACAGGTTCACTACACCTCCAAGCAACCTGTGTGTAAGCTTAGTCCAACGAACTAAAGAGCCACAACAATCAATAAAAAGAAGTCTTGAAATTGGTATTTGATAGAAAAAATAGCACTAGTAAGTAGATCAAATGAAGCAATTTTAGGACCAAATGTCAATGAAAGAAACAGATACAAACAATTGAAACCTGTAAGTATATTGGATAAAAATAACACTTGTAATAGGGAAACCTTCTATTGAGGAAAGCCAAATCATGTGATGGTTGTCTGAGAGTAATTTAAGGACAAAACAAACACTGGACTCTGTCATTTTGATCATATAGATCGTTTCAATTATTGAAAAAAAAACAATTTATACTATAGCGTGCATGTGTGCGCGCAAGACACGAGAGGCTGTACGAAAGGGTAGGGCTTCCCTTTTCAAAATGGTAGGGTTCTATGCTATATCCTGTGGAGCCCTGACAGCACGAATAATCACACACCATCATCAATTGTAGTATAACTACTGGTTCGCATATCCATATTTTGTTAACAAGAATGGAATTTCCTGATTTCCATTCTGCAGGGGCGGAGAGAAGATAACTAAAATCTCTCTCATAAATTAAGCGGAAATCAATGTTCAATGTAAGTTTGGGTTCAAATAGCAGTGCGTAGCAGTGGCATGGCCACTATTTTGCGGTAGCGGCACCGTCCACCACCAGAAACGACCTCAATATCGGTGTTAACAAATTTCCCATCAACAGCAGCGAATGGCTGCCGCAAATAGCAGTGTAATTTAAAATAACGACAAATATAACAGAATGATGCAGAGGCAGAGGCAGAGAGCATGTAACTTAAATCTCTCTCATGAATCAAGTAGAAATCAATGTTCAACTTAAGTCTAGGGTTTCGAAATTTTACCTTATTTAATATCCTGGTCTGTTGGAAACTTGAAGACAAGAGCAGAGTTGGACCGGCAACTGGAGGAGGGGGGAGAGGAGGCGGATAAAATAGGAGGAAGAGAGACACGAAGCTGGAACAGAGCGGTAGCGAGAGGCTTGTTTGGCGGTCGGAATTTCTAAAAGAAACTTTGGGAAAACATTATTCATATATAGTTTAATTTGGATAAAAGAATTATGAACTCTAGTACTATACTCTAAATTTAGGTTTAATATGAGTCCTCAAATTTTTACGGAAAAACAAATGTCATCTTTAATTTTTTATTTATTTAATATGAACATAAAAGTAAAACAAAAAAACGATAAGACAGTGTAACAAAAAAATATTGTATATTTATTTTTAATAAAAATATAGACACTTAAAGTAAACTTAAGGTTTAATGTGGACATTTTTTAAAAAATTAAGCTTTAAAATAAATTCAATTTAATTTTTTGACTAACAGAACCAATCGTTGATTGTTATGATATTAATGTGACAGTTCATAATCTAATATGGCAGGTAAATTTACTAACGTGGCAATCCATGATAGATAATAGCATGATAGGAATATTAAATTAATTCAAGGAAATTCACTTTGGCCTTTGTTCTAGTTGGTATTCAGGGAGTTCGGACTTTTATTATTAGGATAATGATTTTTAATGTTTAAATGATCGATTTATTAAAAAAAGATAATGTTAATGACTTTTTTATTATTTTTAAAACTTAAGTTAAAAGAAAACTTTAGTCATATTTTACTGATTATTTATATAATTTACCCTTATAATTATAGGTTACTTTGATTTTTGGTCCCTCATGAAAGTCCATCAATCACTTTGCATTCATACAAGAAAATTTACGGAGGTTGCAAGATATATCCATCGTATTTTTATGGGTAGTTCTGTTATATAACAGTTTAATTTAAGATTAATTCAAAGTGAATTTTAACTTGAAATGATATTATTTCCAACGTATAAAGTATACAAATTTGTAACATATTCAGTCGCAACTGATAAGTTACATTATGGGGGTTTAGGATTTTTAACTGAAAAAATTATATAAATTTATAACATTTTCGGTTACTTTATTCAACCTAAAATGTTACGTTCTTGATAAAATTTTCGATTACAACTGATTTTTTTTTAGCTTTATATTAATAAATTATATTTTGAAATTTCTGATTTTTATGAAGACGTGTCAAACAACATTAATCTAAATAATATGGAGTTTGGTGCATAATGGAGAATCATCTTATCGTTTGGTGCTTAACAAATTGTGAAATAATGAAGTTATTATAACATTTGTTTTGAGAGATGGAAAGCTCATCTTCTTTCCCTTTATTCTATGTAAAAACAAACTACTCCTAGTTGAACTTGTACAAGTTGTTAATGACGAAATTAAGTTATAATGGTTCTGAGATAAGAAACAGCCATTCAACAAGAAACGAAATTGACAAGTGCATAGTCTTTTACCCATTTTTTCTATTGATATGATACTTTAACGTTTCATGTTACATCCATCGTGATACATTTTTTAGTTAAGAAAAATCGACAGTCATGTATAATTAAATATTTTTTACGACGATTTATCGATACATTTATAATCATTTGCAGAGCAATCTCTTAGCCTCCACAACTTCATCACTATTATATATAGGTACGAATAGACATGAAAATTATTGATAATTACTAGATATTTTTCAGGATAAAACATATATTTAAGGGAATATTTAATTTTATATTTTTTCATGTATTTTGACTTTTCATATTAGAATTGTGTTGTCTTTGTTATATTTTATATTTTTATATAATAAAAACCGAACTTATATAAATAAACATAAACTTCAAACTCATGTTTTGATATTGTTATATTTGTACTCAAATTATAATTAGTAATTAAATTGTATTTTATTGTAATTTTAGTGGTTAAAGATTATTTGGTAATTAGGTATATTTAATAAAGTAAATATATATTTTAGACAAGAATTGGTATCAAGTATTTTGCTCTATAAATAGAGATTATGTCTTAGTTTTTAGAATTACGTAGGAGAAAATTATTTTGGAGAGATTTAATCATTTTTTTAAATTTATATAACTTTTGGGATTTATGTTATAAAGATAATTTTGTAATTATTAAGAGATTTTTTGGGATACATCGAATTTTGATATATATATATATATATATATATATATTATATATATATATATATATATATATATATATATATATATATATACCGAATTTTAGGATACATGTGATATCATGTATTTGTACTCTCATGTATTCTATATTTATATTGAATTATTATTCATCTCGTCTATGAAAGTAGGCAGTACCAATTCACATTAAATAAATGGTTGTCCCTTTTTCCCATATGTATGGGGTAGGGGGAGGTAAGATAGTAGGCTACCCCCAACACTAGGTTGAGAGCAGCTTCCGTAAGAGACCTCCGAATTATAAAATGCCCTCCGTGGGACTCGATCCTGTAGACACTAAATTTTCGCTGTATTTTCTCTATCCCAGCCAACCTCGCTTTTCACGCCACCAACCTCGAACCTTCCGGCGCAAGGAGAGCTCACGAGACCAACAAACCAACAACAACCAACAAGTCATTCAATCCCATTAGAGTTCTAAAATCGCACGGAAATATGTTTTCTTCGCTATAAATGGACAAGAATGGAGGTGGAAAAAAAAACGGGAGCAAGGAATGGTGGTGATGCCACGACAAAACCCACTTAGACAGTTGCAGACAGTTTCCTTACCCGTTGAGGCTGCCGTGGTTACCACCACTAGCGCCGCTCAGGGCGCTACCATCAGTGATTTCATGGGTACCCTCACCAACGATGTCTCCTTCTCTCTTCTAACTCCTCGGGCTTCCCTCGACCTTTTATCTCCCAAACCTCATCGACCCCAAAGCGACCACTCCATTCTCTTCTCCCAACGATGAGACCTCAACAACCATGGTAAGGGTTCGAAGAGATCCCCATCGTGATGGCCAGAGGTTTCAGAGGATCCGAATTTGCTACATGCGTGGAGGTAAGGAACCATTGTTTCGAGGGGCTCGTACGCAGAGTGCTCGGGAGAACCGATCACCTACGCTGATGATGGGGATGGCTTGCTTGCCAGATCTGGGACCACCTGTTGTTCATGTCTCGTGCAACTCACACAAGCTGAGGAAAGGAGAAGGCAGAAGCACTCACGCGTAAAATGAATGGGGATGCACATATTTGGGTTTTGTGGATTTTCCTGGGTAAACTACACTCAAAGCCACTAATGTTTATAGATTTCAACTTTTATAGATTTCAACTTTTATAGATTTTAACTTTCAGTCTATAAACTTTACTCTGAATTCAATCTAACCCCTAATTTATTTTTATGATTTGATCTAATATTTTTATTTAATTATTATTCTATTTTCACTAACATTTTTTTCTTTTCACAGGTTTTTTTCCGTTCATTTTATTACTTTTAAAATATTATTTTTTTTCTTTGATTTATTTAGTATTTATTTATTATTTCTTATCTAATATTTTTTGACTTTTTAAGGGAATTTTTTTTAATCGATCAAAGGTAATTAATTCGAATTGAATTTCAAATTTAAATTTAAATTTCAATTTTTCGCAACTAAGACAGTCGTTAAATTAATTGGTACCGAAAGGGCGGTGCAAGGGTGCTAATCCTTCCTTGACCGTAACCGACTCCCGAGCCCGACACATTTCTGGTAAAATGCAGATCAGGTAAGATGGTGTCCGATCTACCTAAATATCATTTTAAAATGATCGGTGGCGACTCTAACCCAATTATTTCAAGTCGAAGCCCAATTCCGGGTCCAACCGAAAGACGGTTGCGACAGCTTGGCGACTCCACTGGGGACAGGTAAGTGAGTCAGGCTAAGGTAATTTTCAGTTGTCTTTTTAACGAAAAGGGTAAATTTGAATTTTAAGGTAATTTTTCGATCCTTATTACTTACTTTTGATTACATTTTCGAGTAAATAGTTGTACTGACTGTTTTCTAATGATTTCAGCTTTCTAAACTTTTTCATCTAAAGGCTCTATACCCGAGCTCCAAACCCTATTTAAGTGGGGGTGAAAGCGACACATTCGTGTGAATTTATTCTCCGTATGGGCCTAGCAAGTAACCTTCGGGATTCATATACCTTATGCCTTCGTGTGAATTTATTCTCCGTATGGGCATAAGGGAATGTATCCTCCCGAGTTTAACTTAGTCCACACAAGCCTGTGATGGGTTTAGGACTAAGGGTCTGGCAAGCCCAATGGGGCACCGGCAAGGATAACTCGGGTACCTTTTTTAGAACCTAAACAGGGAGACTACAAGGAGTTAGAGCCCACCCAAAACCTCATTCCAAACCCTAGGATGCCGGAATTTTTCCTAGTTTACTTTCTACGTATGCGAACTAGAAATTTATGCGGTTAGGACTTGTTCAAAATCAACTTGCGGGATAGAGATCATGTTCGGGTAGGAATAATAAGCATGTGAGGTAGATATCATGTGGGGTAGGACTTTCATTTTATGATCATTTTTTATTATTTTTCACCTCACTAACTCTTTTCGTCTTTCTTTTATTTTATTTTATTTTCATCACTTGCATCATTCAAAAGAGCTCATTGATCCACTAAAACGTGTTTGTTAAAACTCGAATAATCTGAATCCATTGACAAAGGTGTTGTAATACAAGAGATGAAAATACAAAGGATAGTCTACAAGGTGACTATGTGTCACATTCAATCCAGAAGACGTGGTGCCCACAATTGAAGAGTATATCACTCTGCTGCATTATAAAGGACTCAGAATGAACCGGGTCTACATCAAGCACAATGAAAGCTTATCTTTGAAGAACTGACTGGCAGAGGTTGCAGGGGCATGATGAAGGTTATGTATCTTGGAAGTCCCTTTGAACACGACAATGGCAAAATGATAGCTGAAATTGGAGACCATTGCTGGCGAATTCAAGAAACAGATTAATGAACTTCACATAGTTTCTATCAATTAAGGGCTCCAATGACAAATTCGTTGGGAACAGGCTCAACAAAAGTAGATGCTCGAGATGCGATCATTCGAGATTCTTGGACAATACGAAAAATAACTCAACATTTTCACGGTTCATCCAGAGAGGCCGGAGCGGTTCGACAGGTTATTCA